GATTCAACAAATATACTGGCAATAGGACTCCAAATATGCCACAAAACAGAAAGCCACCCTCTAATGGATGGAAGTCTATGGGTCCACGTCGTTATCAACCCAAATGTCAGCTGTGTGACCAGCTTGGCCATGTCGCCAAACAATGCCCGAAAGTCCATTTTTCGGAGCCCACTGCCAATTGTGTCTCTACCTCTCATCCAAAGGACACCAAATGGTTAATTGATTCCGCTGCTTCTCACAATATTACAGGTGATTTGTCAAATTTACCAGTCCACTCGGAATATGATGGCACTGATGAAGTTGTTATCTGTGATGGTTCAGGTTTGCGTGTCTCACACATTGGCTCTTTGGTTTTTCATTCCCTCACTCGTACTTTTCACTTAAAAGATACACTTTGTGTTCCCAGTATTCAGAAGAATTTAATTTCTGTCCATCACTTTACTACCCAAAATAATGTTTTTGTTGAATTTCACCCTCTTTACTTTCTTGTCAAGGATCAGATCACAGGGGCGATACTTCTCAAAGGTGCATGTGAAAACGGTGTGTACCCGTTTCCAGACTCACTGGTGGACTCTTCTTCAAAAATTTTGGCAAATGTACATGAGCGTATGACGATTGATGGATGGCACAAGCGACTTGGACATCCCTCATATAAAATCGTAACCTCTCTTGTTCGTACATTTTTTCTTCCAATAAAAAAAGACACTCAAGCATCAACACTTTGTACTCCATGTTCTATCAATAAAGCCCATCAACAACCGTTTCATTCCACAAGTCTCCAAAGTCATACACCTCTTGATCTTATTTACACCGATGTTTGGGGCCCCTCCCATACTATTGGTCTTGATGGGTCACGTTACTACTTAATTCTGGTTGATCACTTTACCAAATATATGTGGTTTTACCCCATGGTTGCCAAGTCCAGCGTTAGTAGCATCTTTCCTCAATTTAAACATCTTGTTGAAACAAAGTTCCAAAGCAAAATAAAATCTATTTACTTGGACAACGGTGGTGAGTTTATGGCCTTAAAAAATTATTTTTCCATTCATGGAATCAGTCACTACACCACCGTTCCTTACACCCCCCAACAAAATGGTGTTGCCGAAAGACGTCACCGTCACATAGTTGAAACAGGACTCATACTTCTCAAAGATGCCGACTTGTCACTCTCATATTGGCCTTACGCCTTTCAAACCACAGTTTATCTCATAAATCGTCAACCAACCACTCTTTTACATCATAAATCTCATTTTGAAATTCTGTTTAGCAAATCACCAAATTATCTTAAATTAAAAAAATTTGGTTGTTTGTGTTTTCCTCTAACCCGACCCTACAATACTCATAAACTTCAACCCAAAGCATGTCCATGTGTTTTCTTGGGCTACTCCCAAACTTAGAGCGCATATCGGTGCATGGACTTAGAGCAGCTCCAACGGACGAGGCATACGGAGAGCTAAAACTGTTTTGGCCATTTAATTGTTTCTGTTCATGTTCCAACGGGCAAGCTAAACAAATAGCCATTTTGGCTATTTGTTTTGTTAACAGCCATTTCTACATTTAACTGTAGAAATGGCTAAAAAAATAGTCGT